GGTCTGAAGTCATCACAGTCAGCATAGCTCATTGAGCGTGTAGCCACACAGACACATACCCTTGTATCAGCGATACTTCCCTGGTCAACGAGTGCACGACCGCGTCGACTTGCGACGGGTCCAAAGTGCTGTGGTCTAGGAGCTGCTGCCGTGCACTCTGGACAGCGCTCGCTTGGGAGACGTCCATATCCTCAACATGGTGCGCCTCTATGTTCTTTGCCAAACATTTAAGCTTGAAGCGGAAGTCCGGCGCGGTCGCATACTTCGGAAGCGACACCTCGATCTCCGCGAGGGAGCCGTCCGTGAGGTACCGAGCGAATGGGACGTCTGCGGGTTCCATTGTCTGCAGGCGCGCGAGGAAGGGGCGCGTCGCCTCGTATACGATGTTATTGTCGACGAGGAAGCCGTACGCATTGTCCGCCTGAATCGCCTGCCGGCGCAGCGCCATGAGCTCGACCTCGGGGTCGAAAAACGACATGCGCAGCTGAACCTTCTGATTGTTCATCCGTGCCGAGTCTGCGAGGTCCCTGCTCGTCGAGGACACGACACCAAGGAAGACCTTCGGGCTCCCGCTGTCGACGACGACAAGCGCAACCAGACTGCCGCACTCAAGCCGTCGATTGTTTCTCCAATACTCGAGCCGCTTGCTCACGTCTTTGTCGCGCGCTGCACCGTTTGGCGGGGTGTCGATGCGAATGCCGACGGTGAGGTCGCGCTTCTCAGCGGTAGCGTACGTGAAAGTAGCGCCAGTATACACGTGGAAGAAAACCGAGTCGATGCCACTGGTCTTGAAAGCCCCGCCGCGGTTGTCGAAGAGCTACTAAAGCTTAATGCATCGTCCATGATGAAAATAAACCACAAATTTCTTCACTTCCTCAAGATCTGCAAAGATAACAGCAATCGAGGAACGAATGGGCGCGCTGCAAAAGTGTACGAGATCAGGAACGGCGATCGCTCGAAGCTCCGATGTTTACGCACACCAACTCCTCGCGTAGCAAGCGGAACTGGCTGTCCAAATGGCGTTCCATGGAGTGGGCAGGTAGATGGTGCGGCGCATCCGATAATGTCACAGGGAGGAACGGTAATGACGACGACAAAAGTTCATCATGCGTCGGGGCAATTCTGATCTCGGATATTTTTGAAGAGTCGTTGTCGTGTCGCGGGCCTTGCGTGCGGAGATCTCCAGGCGGATCGTAGGCTAAGGCTAGCTGCGCGATGCGGGCTTGCTGCTTGTGAAGGAGGGCCATCTGCGACGGTCCGGGCACCTGCTTCTTCCCTTCCTTCTGGGCCAGATCGCGATTAACGATCTCGGCCAGCCTGTCAAGTTCTTCTCTCAATTGACCGATGACGAGGCGTTTTGTCCTTGGATTCTGGCTTGCGATAGAGTCTTGAAAGGTCGAAGTCATGGACGAGATATCCATCGACCAAGTAGTAAACCAGGCTACGAGACTATTCACCAACCGAACGATCTGGTCTTGATCCCTGGACTCCTTGTACCGTGCAAATAACCTAATCACAGTGAGAAAACTGGGTAGCAGGCACTTCGTGAGACATACTGGAGCAGGAGCGTCGTGAGTGTCCTAAAGAGTACTACTCCTCGCGCAGTACGAGACGGCGTCTTAGGATCAGCCCAGGACTTGGCCGAAATCATGTTGCCCACACATGTGGTGATGTTGTCGCAGATCTTGCTGCAAGTATTGCTAACCACGCCATATAGCTTGCTGCAGTGATCTGTTAGACAGAAAACAGAAAGAGCACAGCGTGAGATACACGACGTACTTGATATTCTTGTGAATAGTACTTTTTAACACAAGATCGGAAGTCAAGAACTGCCAACTGATTAAGTATAGCCGATCCTTCCGGTGAGATGCGCATGACGCACTTCTAAAATTGGAAGATAGCCTGTCTGGAACGAGAGGCAACTGGCATCGCGCCCACTGTCAGACTTCACAGCCTTAAATGCTA